TTAACAGAATCTGGCTTCCCCATTGAAGTCCCTTTTTTTCCAGTGTCCCTGTAACTTTGAACAGTCATTAAAGGAACTGTTGTAAGTCAAGGACTAATAAGAAATCATAGGACGTGTGTTTTGTTAACATCCAAGATTCAGCACATTATACAGAGCCAGCCCAGGCTGTGGAATTATAGGACACTAAATCATCAGCAATTAAGTGGGGCTGCTGAAATAAATGATTTTCCTTAATTAGGCTCTATTTTGTATAATTAGTTTAGGATGTAGCATGCAAAGAAAATACGAAAGCAAATAATGAGGAAGGGAAAAGGGAAGGGACGAGTGAGCAGAAAAAAGGGGAAAAAGAAAGAAAAAGCATTGACTTTCAATTCTCTTTGGTACAGTAGAATAAGGCAATTGTTAGGTTCTTATTTTTAGAAGTACTTAAGAATAGACTGGGTGGGAGGTTGAAGAATGACAAAGATGGATTTAATAACTAAAAGTTAGATAAAAATTTGTCAAATGTAGAGAAAGAGAGAGAGAAACATTCTTTTATTATCCTACTGGACCTCACCTGAGCTGCTAGCTCTATAGATAACCCAGAATAACTGGCTTTCTTCTGATTTAAACTTCTGAGTAACCATGCATATTAAAAGATAGAGAGAAGAATAATACATCTGCTTTTCAGCTTCTTGAGTAATTCTCTCCTTAACTTACCAGACCTGAGGGGAAAAAAGATTCCTACGCAAGCTATTTATGATCTTAATATTTTGTTTAATTTAAATTGGGTGACCAGGAGGAGGATTTGAACAAGAAAATCTCTTGATACCAGCTTTTGATCTCGTCCCCATTTCCATAGCAACTGGTGTTTTTTTTGGGGGGGGGAGTGTTCTGGTCAAGACAGTTGCTGCTCTGTATAGCTGTGATATATATGATTTTAATTTCCTTTGCAATACCCCAAAACCAGCCTGTTCGCTTCCTAAAACCCCTTTTGGTTTTCTTGCCTTCCCTCCCTTCAACTTCTAGGAGGGGCAATTTCCAAAGTTTCCAGGAAGAGACCTGAATGATGAAGCTAGTCCTCATCACATTGTGTCAATTTGCATCTTCACAGAATTTGTTCAAAAAAAAAATATATCTCATACTCTGGGGACAAAACAAAAAAAAGGAAAAGCCTTAAACCCCTTGGTCTTGGGACGTCTCCCACCTTATGCCTCTTTTTCATGGAATCCTGAGGCTGGAAAGGACCTTGGAGATATTCTAGTCCAACTCCTTATCCATGGCAGGAGATCCTATACCATTCTGGACAAATCCCAAAGGTTCTTTTTCAAAAGGCAACTGGACTTCCTTGGTTGGTTTTCCTTGAAGACATTTTGCTTCTCATCCCAGAAGTTTCTCATCCATGAATTGAAGAAGCTTTTTGGATGAGAAGTGAAATGTCTTCAAAGACGAACAAAGAAAATCCAGTTGTCTCTTGAAAAAAGCAGTTTTTGGACCACCATGACCTAGATAACTGAGAATTTCCATAGCCATTGTGGAGAAATGGCTATTCAATCACTCCTTGGAAACCTCCAGTGATGGACCACCTACAACTTATGGAGACAAATAGTTCCACTGATTGTTCTCACTCTTGGGAAGCTTCTTCATTCTAGGTTGGATCTCTTATTTTCAGCAACCCTCCCAAAACAAAAACATTTTTTTGGGATGAGACTTTTAGTCTACTACATCCCTCATGTGGTAGTTGGAGGCAGGGCCTATCTCTGAGGGGCACCAGTTCCTGAAGCCTATTGTTAAATCATAAACAGCATGGCATCCTATACTTTGACCACACGCCATACATTTATTTATCCAGGTTAGTTAAAAACCCTGTGGCTTTAGATACAGCACAAAGTAAACTTGGCGAGTTTTAATCTTGGTTGGGATGAGAAGCTTAGCACATTGTACAAACTCAACCCTTTGGTTAGCTTAATGTCCAAGGAGGTTCTCAGTCACCCAGGTCATGGTTGTCCCAAAGGTACTTTTTTCAAGAGGCAACTGGACTTTCTTATTTTTCTTTGAAGATGTTCTGCTTCTCATCCAAGAAGTTTCTTCAGCTCTGATGGGATGGTAGGGAATATAAGAATGGAAATCCAGTCAGAGCTGAAGAAGCTTCTTGGATGAGAAGCGAAACATCTTCAAAGAAAAACAAGAAAGTCCAGTTGCCTCCTGAAAAGGCTCCTTTGGGACTTTGGTTAACTTGTGATCCAATGTTTTGTGTGAACTTTGAAGTTGGGTCAATGAATTAACCAAGCAGAAAATGTTGTGCCGACTCAGCAAAGGTATGTTGGAGCATTAAAACATATTCTAACAAGCCAAGCTTATTTAATTAACACGTTCACACGCAGCCATTCTAAGCAGGTTGTTTCTAGATTGCATCAACAAGATTGGGATTCGGTTATTCCCATTGAAATAAACAGGAGTATTTCTTAGGATACTGCACGGCTCACCGATTTCTATCCTACTTTTTCAGAGCAATTTTGATTGAACCTCATCTGTACAAAAAGAACCTTAACAACTGAAACTCAGCATTATAGAAAGCAGCAGGATTGAATTTTAATACGATCTGAAAACAATGGATACAGATAGCAGACTATATTAAAGTTCTATGTACCACATCTCCATATCTCTCAAGAACAGAAAAGAAAAAAAGGACTTTATTTATTACAGAATAACAAAATAACCTAGTTGGAAGGGACCTTGGAGGTCTTCTAGTCCAACCCCCTGCTCAAGCATTTCAGATATATAGATGCCAAACTTTTCTTAAAAACCTCCAGTGATGGAGCACTCACAGTTTCTGGAAGCAAGCTGTTCCACTGATTAATTGTTCTCAAAGTCAAGAAATTTCACCTTATTTCTAGGCTGAATCTCTCTTTTATGGTTTCCAGCCGTTACTTCTTCTTCTGCCTTCAGATGCTTTGGAGAATGGCTTGACTCCCTCTTCTCTGTGACAGCCCCTTAAATATTGGAACATGCCATCCCTGGTCCTTCTTTTCACAAGGCTAGTTAAAAGAAATGTTGTATTCTGGTTTTAAATAACAAATAGTTCCTTGACAAATGAAAACATGACATTTGAAGATGGGTTTGGCACTTAATTTGGGAGTCCCATACCAACAATTGAAGGGCTACCACACTTATTCTCCAAAGCACCTGAAGGCAGGACATGAAGCAATGGATGGAAATTGATCAAGGAGGGAAGCAACCTACAAGAAAGCAGAAATTTCCTGACAGTGAGGACAATTAACCAATGGAACCAAACTGCCTTCAGAAGTTGTGGGTGATCCATCAGGGGAGGCTTTCAAGAAGAGACTGGACAGTCACTTCTCTGGAATGGTATAGGTCTGCAAGAGCAAGGGGTTGGACTAGATGATTTTCAAGGTCCCTTCCAACTCTGTTACCGTTACTTACTTGTGAACCTTACAACTCTGACTCAGGCTAGTTGATTCTGCTTACAAGTTCTGATGTTCAAACTCCAACTGATGATTTTCCTTTGTGACACTTTGATTTTGGAACCCTTGTAAGCCAAAATAGCTGAACTTCTCTATAATACAAGTGTATGTGTTTCTCCTTCTTCTTCTTGTGCCATATCCGTCATGTTGGCGAACCTACTTTTATCAACAGCCCCACAAAAAAGGGCTGGTGAGTTTTGTCCAAAGTAGTCCTTTAGATTGTGAAGCCACAATCTTGCCTGGACCTGGTTCGCCTTCAATCCTTCCTTGGAGGATTAAGTGAAGGAGGCCGTATTTTTCTGGGTGTCGCACCATATGTCCAAAATATTCTATGTTTCGCTTTTTTTTAATGGTTTTGATGATTTCCCTTGGCTTTCCCAGGCAGCTTATCACCTCCTCATTTCTGATTTTGTCAACCCATATATACATATATACATATACATATATACACACACACACACTATACAACTATCTCTATCTCTATCTGTCTATCATATCTACCTATCTCTCTCTCTCCTTTCTAGATAGATAGATAGATACCGTGTTTCTCATATAATAAGGCCGGGTCTTATTTTTTTTTGAGCCCCGAAAAAATGGCTAGGCCGTCTTTTCGGGGGTGACTTAATTCCCCCCCCCTTGCATCTTCGGGCGGGGGGCGACGGCTTGGATGTTGACCTCGGCATTGGTGGAGCACTTCGTATCGGGGTCAACGCAGGCAGCACCATATCCGGGTGTGCAATAAAAGTACTTCCTAACGGCAAGCCCCCCCCCGCCATTCCCCCCCATTTTGCATGTTTTAATATAGGCCTTAATTTGGGGGGAGGGGCTTAATTTCATTTCATGCCTATAAAACATGCTGGGACTTCCTATTGGGGGAGGCCATATTGTTGGAGAAACAGGGTAGATAGATAGATAGATAGATAGATAGATAGATAGATAGATAGATAGATAGATAGATAGATAGATAGATAATGTATGGATAGATAGTGAGAGAGATGATGATAGATAGATAGATAGATAGATAGATAGATAGATAGATAGATAGATAGATAGATAGATAATGTATGGATAGATAGCGAGAGAGATGATGATAGATAGATAGATAGATAGATAGATAGATAGATAGATAGATAGATAGATAATGTATGGATAGATAGCGAGAGAGATGATGATAGATAGATAGATAGATAGATAGATAAATTTTTTGGGATGTTGCTGCTGTTATTACATTTTGAACACACAGACAGACAGACACAGATAGTTTGGCATTTTGGGATGTCTCTGCCGTTATTATTGTTATTGTTATTATTTTTGTTATTATTTTTGTGATTGTTGTTGTTGTTGTTATTATTATTATTATTATTATTATTATTATTATTATTACTATTATCATCATCCTTGGGATGGTGACATTCCTGGAAGCAGTGTGTCAAAATTTTAACATGACCCATTGTGTGTACAGAAAAAGGACAATGACGGTTTATCTTGTCTTATCGAGATGTCTTATCTTTATGGCATAAAGATCAACAGCACAACCTTATCTGGCTGGTTTGCTCGTCGATGGCATCCACGGCACTTTCCACCGAGCTCAGCAAGGACTGAATCTGATTGGCCGTCTCTTTCAGCAGGAAACGGGTCACGAACTGGTCCACGTTTGTCCCTCGTTCGTAGACCTGGGAAAGAGGAAGAGAAGGGAGCCCTCTGAGAAGGTACCTTTAAGACAACGACAGCGCCACCTGCCCCCCCCGCAGGTAATGCTCGGCTTACAGCCACCCGCTTAGCAACAGCTCGAAGTTAAAACAGGATGATCACTTCTGGAGTTTGTGCTTGTGAAGAAAAAAAGAAATGAAACTTGGATCATGGTTTTGTTGATTAGAAAGATCTATCTGTTATAGAAATAGAATGCCTATTAATATGCGGTTTGTGCTATTAAGATTTGGAATAGAGGTAGAAATGAGGAAGGAGGAAAATATTACTATGCATATTCCTATATAATATTTTAAAATCAGTACGTAGAGGAAAGGATCAGAAGTTGAAAGATGATTGTATTATGTACGATGTTATTATAACGATGTGAGTATAATGTAATTAAGAGTTTCCAAAATGGTCAACATTATCACTACTATTTGGTATCAAAATTAGATGCCACACTGTTCATGTATTTATATATATATATATATCTATATATATATATATATATATATATATATATATACATATATATATATGGATCTTTGGTTATTCGGGTTCTCTCCCGCGTAAGATTCAAAGTATCTAGGCAACGTTTCGGCGAGGTCCCACTCGCCATCTTCAGGCTGGTGCTTTCGGCTTAGTGCCAGTGCAAGCAGTGTGTGACCGGAGCTGCCATCTCTCTTTATATACAAGTGGTGGGGGATGGTGTGCTGGGCTGGTTGGCTGTGCTGCAGCCTCTTGATTGGTTGATGGAGTTGATGTTGGTATAATGGGCTGTGTAATGGCCTTTTGTTGTAGAGATATCCTGGATCTTGTGCTGTCATCTCCTGGGTCGTTAGCCTCTTGTGTTTTAACGGCTTGGGTAATGACTTGTGTGATGGGCTTGTGAGTTCTTTTGTTGTGAGTTCTGGACGGACACAATACAGAAGCCTGATGATGGCAGATGAGATTCTGCTGAAACGTTGCTACAACTTTAAAAGAACAACTACAATGACGTGGGAAAATACCCGAACCAAGCCGAACACCATACATGTAAGTACCCGCGAAAACTTAAGAAAACAAATAT